GTGATCTGCCAGATAAAAGTGGCAAAAGGACGCCTCAGCAGAGTCTGCTTGTCCTGCACCAGAAATTTGCTGAGCTTACTCCCATCACGCATTCGGGTTCAAAATGCCACCACTGTGTACGTCCTCAGACAGACCCAACTCTGGGAGGGAACTCAGACTGACCCCATCCCCCTGGCACTGCGCAGGCTGGGAGGCACGTGCAGCGGGAGGAGAGCCGGCCAACCCACTTCCTCACGGAGCAGAAGAGGCCCCTGGGCTGAGAACGTGAGAGAAAAGGGTCTGGGCGATGGATCAGGACAGTCAGCTGCCCCAGGGGCAGTAAGATCAGAAGACAAAAATTAAGTACTTTCTCATTTGTAGCCCGAGTTTGCACCTCCTGTCTTTCTACTTTTCCGTTTATAAAATAAAGCATAGAAGCTGGGAATATGCAAAATCTAGAGCATGGCCAGGTATCCAAGGAGGAGGCCCTCTGGCCTCCACTATTCACGGCTATCACGCAGGAGAAACAGAAACCACTGCGCAAAGTCAAAGTCCACTGCGACGGCAGACTTTTCCTCTTTCAGAAATGCCAAGGAAGTCTGATATCCAAGCACTCGCCTGCCTGGCCTCAAGCTCTCGCTCCCACAGCAAGCCTTCGCACGCAGCTACCCAGCCCACCCACCCTGACTAGCAACTGGCGAGAAGTCGTGATAACCGGTAAAAGACAGATACATAAAGGTGGGACAGCCAAACAGTTTCAGCAGTATCCAAACAGGTGGAAAGGAGTAGGATGGCCACAGTGACTTGGCCAGGCTGTACTGGGATGAACATGCCAGAAGGAGACAACACCAACAATTTTCACGTTTGAAAAGACTTTGCTTAATTGTTAACTGGTTCGGTCAGAGCTTGCGACCATACTCTTAAAGCATGAAGACCCTCATCCAAGATGCTTCAAAAGGGTGAGATAAGAAAACACAGAGTAGGGTAATGCACAGGCAGGTGTTAGAATAGCACAGACCTAGGGCACAGGCAATCGCTTCAGGGCAGTCCTGTAGATATGGGTGTGCGTGTAAGGGCTAGTTTGATGTCACCGATCTCAAACAGATCTTAATTAAACAGCCAAGATCACCTCGCAATGGATTGAGTCCTTCCTGTGGGGTTTTTGCACCTTACACTCACTCATCCTCTACATACAGACTTGCTTCAAATATTTGCCTGCTTTCATGATCAGCACTTTCTAACCAGCTGCTTCATCACATCTGTCAGGGGTAATGAGGCATTTGAGGGTTTTTGCCTGAATTATATTATCCCATCATGTTATCGTATTGTAGA